ACTGCTTGCTCTTCTTACTTTAATTATTTCTGTGACTACCTCATGGCTTAACTCATTTAAATCTTCCCAAGTTTATCTGAAGGGTAAGTTTATTATTTATGCTACCCTTTTATGCCATTCTACTCAAATTTCTTTCCTTTATTTATTCTAGAACTTTGCACAGTAAGAACCATTTTACTACTAATTTGTGATGTGTAGTTTCAGGGAGAGTAATCATCACAACTTTAGTCGTGATTTTTTTGTGTGTGGTTTTTAAAAATTAGTGATGATGGCTTTGCATGGACTATATCCCAACATTTTTATGAGAAATTGTACATTTTTCTCATATATATGTGTTTTTAAGCTATATCATTTCTAAGTTGTTATATGGTAAATTCCCTAATTTTAAATTGTGTGTTTGTGTTGCTTAACTGCCGTTTGATACCTACAGTTTATGAGCTGTTCTACAGAGTGAATGTATCTATCATTAACCTTTTTTTTTTTTTGGAGATGGAGTCTCGCTCTGTCACCAGCTGGAGTGCAGTGGCGCAATCTTGGCTCACTGCAACCTCTGCCTCCTGGGTTCAAGCGATTCTCCTGTCTCAGCCTCCCAAGTAGCTGGGACTACAGGCATGCACCACCATGCCTAGCTAAATTTTGTATTTTTAGTAGAGATGGGGCTTCACCATGTTTGCCAGGATGGTCTTGATCTCTTGACCTCGTGATCCGCCCGCCTCAGCCTCCCGAAGTTGGGATCACAGGCATGAGACACCACGCCCTGCCGATCTACCATTAATCTTGAAAGGCTTTTCATCCTAATTTTTTGTTCCATTCTAGCAGTTTTTACTTAGACACCTTTGTCTTTTATATGTAAATGTTTTTAATTTTAGGAAATCATGCTTGCTTTTGGTTTTTAAATTTGAGACAGAGTCTCGCTCTGTCACCCAGGCTGGAATGCAGTGGCATGATCTTGGCTCACTGCAGCCTCCTCCTCCCAGGCTCAAGTGATCCTCTCGCCTGAGCTTCCCAAGTAGTTGGGACTACAGGTGTGTACCACTGCATCTGGCTAATTTTTGTAGTTTTTGTAGAGGTGGGATTTCGCCATGTAGCCCAGGCTGGTCTCTAGCTCCTGAGCTCAAGTGATCCACTTGCGTCAGTCACCCAAAATGCTGGGATTGCAGGTTTGACCCACTTCACCCAGCCTGTTTCATTTTTGATAAGCAAAAGTTTGTAAGTTGTAGAAGCCTTTTGAAATAATATTGTACTTAGTCTCAGAACAGGTGAATCTTAAAACCAAAAACTACATATTTTCTGTGCTACTAGGAAGAAGCTTGTCTTTAGTGAATTTGGTACATTGTGTTTTCACTGTTTATTTAAATGTAAGTAAATAAAAGGAAAGTGACCAGTGTTGAATGTATAGCCCTTTCAAATTAACTATGAATAAAACCATAATCCTAAAAGGTTATACTATTCAACCCAAACGTAAATGACAGTGTGATATATTAGGGTCTCCCAACCATAGACTTCAGATTTTTTTTCTTTTTTTTGATAAATTATTTGATTGGTTATACTTCAAATGAGATATTTGGAAAGTAAAAAGCACTTTCATGTTTTGATGTCTTAGAAGAAGAAGAAAAGAATGAGAAAAGACAAAAACTTGTGAGAAAAAAACAACAAGAGGCACAAGGAGAGAAGGTAAGCCAGAATTTTTAGAGACTTTATGCATAGAGAAATACAGAAATCTCTGAGGCAATTAAAATTAAGGTCTGTTGCTTCTGTGTTTGTGCTAAGATTTAAAAAAAATATATTGAGGTCAAATTCATGTGACATAAACTTGACCATTTTATGTTACTTATTTGTTTTCGAAATGGAGTCTCACTGTGTCACCTAGGCTGGAAAGCAGTGGT